CACCGCCAGGGGACCTAACGAGGATGGAGAGGGGACGAGGGGAAATAATGAATCGGGACCTCCCTGGTGAAGTGCAGCCTGGCCCAAAGCTTGGCTGAATAAGCAAGGCTACTGCAGGGGGGAAACACGGGGGCGTGAGGGGAGGAAGGAACGGTGGTGTACAGTGATCGTGTTACCATGAAGATCGCGAACTAAAAACGACGTGGCCTTTGCTGGTCACGGCGAGACTCGGCCACGAATAGGTTCCCTGACCTAGATCTGAGAACTGGCCCGAAAGTCTGAGCCCCCCGTGAGCCCCAGAGTTTTTCTTGGTGAGTGAATTGTGAGGAAGTCTCAGGCGGGAGCCCCCTCCCTATGGGGCCCGCACTTCATGTTGGTAATCCGAGCGGGTCATGCGAAACGTTTAACTGTCGTCACTTTTGGGCTCTTGAGGCCTGAATATGGAGGAAGTCTCGAGCGGGAGCCTCGTCTGTGAGTGAATTGCGAGGAAGTCTCAGGCGGGAGCCCCCTCCCTATGGGGCCCGCACTTCATGTTGGTAATCCGAGCGGGTCATCCGAAACGTGTAACTGTCGTCACGTTTTGAGCTCCTGAGGCCTGAATATGGAGGAAGTCTCGAGCGGGAGCCTCGTCTGTGAGTGAATTGCGAGGAAGTCTCAGGCTGGAGCCCCCTCCCTATGGGGCCCGCATTTCATGTTGGTAATCCGAGCGGGTCATCCGAAACGTGTAACTGTCGTCACTTTTGGGCTCTTGAGGCCTGAATATGGAGGAAGTCTCGAGCGGGAGCCTCGTCTGTGAGTGAATTGCGAGGAAGTCTCAGGCGGGAGCCCCCTCCCTATGGGGCCCGCATTTCATGTTGGTAATCCGAGCGGGTCATGCGAAACGTATAACTGTCGTCACTTTTGGGCTCTGAGGCCTGAATATGGAGGAAGTCTCGAGCGGGAGCCTCGTCTGTGAGTGAATTGCGAGGAAGTCTCAAGCGGGAACCCCCTCCCTATGGGGCCCGCACTTCATGTTCGAATCCGAGCGGGTCATCCGCAACGTGCAACTGTCGTCACTCTTGGGCTCTTCAGACCTGAATATGGAGGAAGTCTCGAGCGGGAGCCTCGTCTGTGAGTGAATTGCGAGGAAGTCTCAGGCGGGAGCCCCCTCCCTATGGGGCCCGCTTCCCGAGGCGCTGGCCGAGGCGGCGACGGCGCTGAGGAAAATGGATTTGCTTGCCCCGACGAGGGGCAAGGGGAGGTGCACATGGAGAAAAAGCAGGGGGATTAGGAGGGAAGGGGCATGGGGGAGGCCGACGACGAGGAGGAGGTGGCGCGAGAGGAGGAGGAGGAGGAGGAGGAGGAGGAGGAGGAGGAGGAGGAGGAGGAGGAGGAGGATGAGGAGAAAGAGGAGGAGGAAGAGAAATAGAAGGGGGAAGAGAGGGCAGTGCAGGGGGCGAGAGGAGAGGGTGTCCGCCAGGGGGAGGAGGAAAGGGCAAAGGGTAAGCTAAACAGATTCTCATGTGGGGTCCTACCGTCGGAGTAATTCAGCGTCTTGACTGTCCAGACCTGCCAGCATCGAAAGCGGGGAATCGGATCGAATCGGCATGTGCGCCGCATCGGGCAGCGTCTGCACGGAATCGGCATCGAGTTGGCTCGGCTGCGCCTGCATGCGCCACGAGGCCATGCGAACATCGGGCCGCATCCGATCGTCGGAAGAGGGGAATCGGCTCCGGTCAAGACGGCCAGAACCGATGTGGGGTGGCACAGGTCGGACCGAGATGGCCCCTGGATGGCGAGGAGGAGGGAGGAGGAGGAGGAGGAGAGGAGCAGGAGGAGGGGGGGGGAGGAGGGGGATGACGATGATGATGAGGAGGAGGAGAAGGAGGAGAAGGAGGGGGGTGATGATGACGATGACGTCGACGATGATGATGATGAGGAGGAGGAGGAGGAGGAGGATGAGGAGGAAGAGGGGGGGATGATGATGATGATAATGATGATGACGGTGATGATGAGGAGGAGGAGGAGGGGGGATTCGAGGCTTGCAGCGCCACCCTGATGGGTACTCATTAGACTAGATGGGGGCTTTAGCCGGCGGAGGACCTTGGCGCTTTCCTCGCCGCGTTCCTGCGACGTCCCGCGCAGAAGTCCGCCGGCCCTCTTGTGGGGCCACCAGGCTGTAGGACGAAGTTGCTGCTCCCTGCGCCAGTTGCAGCTTCAAGTCTACAATGTTCCAGTACTGCTTTCTGCTTTCCATTGCAAATTGTTGAAGTCCGCGCGAGAGGGCGGAGCCCCAAATCACCTGGTTACCACGCCCGGGTCACGTTCTCTGAATTCATGGAGGGCTTGGGAGACGTGAAAAAATATACATGAGATTCGCGTCCCCGAGGCCATAATCCTATATCAAATATGCAAGATTCGCGCCCCCGAGGTCAAACGACCGGTCTAAATTACGCAACGGCTGCGCCCCCGAGGCAACAACCCTTGGTGAATTATGCCATCCCCACGGCCCCGAGGCAACACACCTTTGAACTTTATACGACATGCGCGTCGCCGATACCAGAAACCTTTGCAGCGTACGCCACATTCGCACTGGCGAGGCCAAGGGTGCTCCAAGGTTCCATGACGGCCCAAAGAGGGTCCAAAGAGGCCCCACGAGCGCTCCGAGGGGCCTCCCGAGAGAGCCCCAAGAGGCCATTATCGGTGATTTTACGAAGGTTTTCGAAGGATGTCGGACTTCTTTTTTGTTCGGCTTTCCGATGCTCCAAGACGGCTCAAGAAGCTCCCAAGATCGCTCCAAGGCAGCCCAAGACGCCTCCAAAAGGGCCCCAAGACGGCCCAAGAGGGCTCCAAGATGGCCCAAGAAGCGCTCACGACGGCCCAAGAGGGCCCCACGACGGCCCCAAGAGGGGCCCAAGCAGGGGACCACGAACCGAACATTCGATATTTGTACTCCGAGAAGCCCACAAGAGGCCCCAAGATCCGCCAAGAGGCCACAAGAGGCGCCCAAGACGCGCCCAAGAGGCCTCTAAGAGGCCCAAAAGATGCCCCAGGAGGCCCCAAGAGGTCCCCAGCAGGCGCCCAAACCGCCTCCACGAGGCCCCCAGGCGGCTCCCAACGACACCCCAACACATATACAAGAGGCCTCATACCCACAAACCAGGAACGGTGGCGGAATGGGCCGAAGGCCCCAAGGAGAACGCCAGCGTCTCAATATGCGCTGAGGATTCCTATCCGCCCCGCATGATGTTCCCAGATGCGCCAAGGCAGCGCCGAGACGCACCGACGCGACTCTGATATCCCATTATGATAGAGACTGGGTCGGCGGCGGGGGGCGAGGTCCTTACGGATAACACTGTTCCTGCTGCCCTCCTGCTGCCCGCCACGCCGGGGATGTCCGCTGCTGGGTGCCCGCGCCGGTGGCGCTGGGGGGGGGGAGGCTCTGCGTCCTAGGGGGCCACACCCCGCGAGGAGGAGAGAGGGATCGACACAACGGGCTGCAAGGCGACCCCAATGCTCGACGTTGTGGGAGCTTCGGCTGGGCAAGAAGTTTGCGCCAGCACTCCACTGAGACGAGAACTCGCCGGAAGCCCACACTGAGGCCCCGATGCCGTCAAAAGCATCGACCCCCCTTCCCCCGAGGCCATCCCCGACGGGGGGGGTGCGCCCGAAGGGCCTTTTGGGGGAAGCATCTCCAGGGTCAGGTCGGGCATCCGGCGGAATTCCGACGACGAATAGAAGTCGTCAACAGAGGCTCGAACATACATAAGGTATATAGAGAAATCGCCACAGGCTGTGTTTTCCTGTGTTTGAACGGGGTCCTCCTGTGGAGGGACGCGCCCGATCCAACTCCAGGCACGAGAGGCCGCTCGGAGCGGCGAGGGGCCGAAGGGGGCCGGCCGACGGGGGGCCGCAATGGAGAGCGCGGCGGCGCACGCCGAGGGCACGGCGAGGGCGAGGGGAGGCATCGACCCCGGAAGCGGCGACGCGCCTCGATGGAGCGGCGAGGGCGAGGGCGCCCTCCCCCTTCCCCTCCCCCTCCTCCTCCTCCTGCTCCTCCTGCTCCTCCTCCTCCTCCTCCCCCACCTCCTCCTCTCCTCCTCCTCCTCCTCCTCTCCTGCTCCTCCTTCTCCTCCTCCCCCACCTCCTCCTCCTCCTCCTCATCCTCCTCCTCCTCCTCCTCCTCCTCCCTCCTCTCCTCCTCCTCTCTTCCTCCTCCTCCTCCTCTCCCTCCCCCGTGGGCGAGGGCGCGGTGGGCGAGGGCGTGGCCCAGCCAGGCTCGACCCAGTACGCGCGTGCGCCGCGCGTGACGGCACCATCAAGACTGCGCCCTGGCTTCGACATGCCTGCCTGCGGGCCCTTCCGCAAGACACCTTCAAGAGAAGCCCAACCCTGAAGCCTCCGGGCGTCCATGGATCTTGGTGTGGGGCCGTCACGCTTTCTCCATCGCAGAAGCATCGAAGCTCAAGAAACCAAGGGCACTCTGGAGGAAAGCAGTGTGTTTCTTGGCATGGGCCTCCACTGTAAGCCTCCGATGGCGAGTGCGCACGTTCCTGGGCGGGATGGGGCTAGCTCACAAGATTTATCTGTAACCACACAACGCGCGCTACGTGGCTGGGTGAAGTGGGTGGGTCCGCTGACGCATAACATAAGACGTTGCGCGCGCACTGCGAGCAGCATAGCTGTGCGCTAGAAACAGCAGGCGCTGCCGCAATGGGGGTGGGTGAAGCGGAGTGCGTTATCTTATCTACTGGGTGGGTGGGTCGGAGGACACATAACAGGCGTTATGTTTTCAAGTAGAGGAATTTCAGCTCGTATCGGGCCCCTGTCGGCGATGAATGGGGCGTGTGGGGGTCGAAGCATCCTCTGGAAAAGGGAAAGGAGGAAAGGAGGGCACGGCCGATGGGAACATACCGACGACGGCGGGACCAACCGACCCCGACAGAGCGAAGCGGGAGGCAGCGACGGCGGCGGCGGAGGTGAAGCCAAAGATGCGTCGTCACTGTCCATGTACCTCGGTTCGGGAGGACGAGGGAGCGGACCATCGGGGCGGTCGCGGGCGAGACTGAAGCTGATGGGCCTGTTTTCAACCACCACCACCACCATAAGTTGGAGGGGAAGGGGGTCCTCCTCCTCCGCCTCGTCCTCCTCCTCCTCCACCTCCTCATCCTCCTCCTCCTCCTCCTCCTCAGCCTCCTCCTCCTCCTCGTCCTCGTCCTCCTCGTCCTTCACCGCCTTCCCCCCTCCAAATTATGGTAGTGGTGGTGTTGGAAAACAAGCCCATGAGAAGCAGAAGAAACACGAAATGCACTGACACATGAAATCGAAGGTCCGCACGGATGTCTTGGATCAGCGCTGGACCCCCCCCTCCCCGGCGCGAAGAGCGTGCCACAAGCGGCGACGGAGGCGCCCCCAACCGGGCCCCGCGCAAACCCAAGAAATCTGCGCGAGCCTGCGAACGTTTATGCTGGTGCCACTTCTGTTTCGATGAAGAGCCGAGCGCTATCGCAGGCGCGCGCGCGAGCAAAACAGTCGACAAGACAATCACCCGCCAGGCAGCAAGTCCACGCTCTGGAGCGAACCCCCGCCATCACGGAGCAGCTCCCTGAACTCGGAGAAGTCGATGTGCCCTGACCGCGGCGGTTCAAAACGGTACAGCCCCATAGTTGTTATGAAAAGCGCAGGTGGCGTTCTTGTTTCCCCCTCGTTTCTCACGTTTCGCCCTTGACTTTACCAACCCTTCTTCTAAACACCACCCCAGAAAGATGGCGTCAAGCAACTGGCACTGAGATATATGGAAGCACAGCTGGCAGGCTGGCCACGAACCGATACTGGAATTCAAGACGTAGCAATCAACGAACGGCGCTCAACACATGGAAAACGTCGATCTTCAATACCGGAGACCACGCCCTCGGCGTATTAGATAAAATCAGAGTGCAGCCCCCGAGGGAAGACGTGGGAGCACACAGTTGGAGGGGAAATGCTGCTCCCGGAGGGCGGGGACAATAGAGGCCCAGGCAGGCTGCGCAAAGAGAGAGAGCTGATGCAACCGCTTCCGCAGCGCAAGGCGCTTGCAGCCTCCTGTGGCTGCGACATTGTGCAAACCTGCTGCGGGCAATACGTACATCCTTATCCAGTGCGTCTTGGGCTTTCTTGGAAGGGGCGCTTCAAGGCCGAGGCGCACTGGATATGGGTAAACATCGAACCTTTGGGGGCCATATTTTAATCCATATCCAGTGCGCCTCATGATTCTGGGAAACAGAGCCCGAAACTCCAAGACGCACTAGATGTGGATATCGGCATTGCCCGCACCTACTTCTGGGGCAACAAACAAACGCGCCAACACCCCTGCTCCCCCGACCTGTCCTGCGATGCGCTCTCACCAGGACTGTGAAGCGAATCCGACCGCGGCAGCGAGACCTTCCAGGAGGTGCGGGAGCAACGAACACAGAACAAAGACATACACATGACCTTGCGCTTTCTCCTGTGAGAACTGTTCCGCTGTAGCGCCTCGCCCCGACAGATGTGATGCGACCGAGACGGGGTCCCGTGCAGTGTGTCGATAGAGGCCTCCTAGATGGGGAGGAGCGCACTGCATCGCCGATACATCGGCGATGCATCGGCGATGCATCGGCGATGCGCCGTCGATGCATCGACGACGTGAGCGTTGCATCGGCGACGTCGGTGCGGGGAAACGCGTGCTCCACATCGAGCCGCATCGTCGATGCATCGGCGATGCGGCGCGATCCTCCGACCCCATCGACTCGGACCCCATCTGGGAGGCCTGGAGTCGAGGCGGTGTCCGGTGCCAGAACAGCTTGCTTTCCTTGACAGCGGTGCCTGGCCTCCGTGCCTCAGTGCGGCAGCTGCACCCAGGAGGGCCCGAAGTGCTCACCCCGGGGGGGCGCCACCGATGCTGCGCGGTGCAGGCCACGAGTGGACACGCCGGCGAGTCGGCCAACCGACTTTGCAACCTCACCGCGCACACACGCACAACACACAACACACACACACACGCACACACGCATACACACACACGCACACACGCATACACACACACACACGCACACACACACAGCACACACAAGCACACACAAGCACACACGCACACGCACACGCACACGCACACACAACACATACACACACACGCACACACACACACACCCCTTTCTGGCGGTCGCGGCCGCGCACGCACTGTCGAGGCGTGGAATGGTCGGAACCGCATCGCGAACGGTCGGGCCCTCAGAAATGTATCAAAACAATCTGCGGGCGCCATCCGCAGCGAGCCATCCGGGCATGGACACTCGCCAGCGCGCGGACGTCCGCCCCCGGGTGCATGCTTCGGTTTCGCAAGATTGAAAGGGGCCTTGGGACACACAAATACATGCACACGAATCCGCCGACCCCTTGTGGGTCTCTAGGCTCTAGGCGTGTGAAATAATTCCCCCCCTAACCCCCCCCCATGGGACCCCAAACCGACGATTCGACCCCCCCCTCGGCCCCTCCCCCCCCCCCTCGCCCGGCCCGAGCGACTCACGGGCTCTTTTGGACCCAAAAGGGGCTCAAGACGGGCCAAGAAGGCCCCGAGACGTCTCAAAGACGGCCCACGAGGGCCCCGAGACGCCAAACGAGCGCTCCAAGACGCCCAAGATGGCCCCAAGACGAGCCAAGAGGCCTCCAAGACGGCCCAAGAGGCCTCCAAGAACAGTCCTCAGAAGGGCCGAAGAGCCGAAAATCATCAAATTCCTACGGGGAAGCGTACATTTTCATCATCTACGACTTGTCGGCCTTCACGCCGTTGAAGACGGCCCAAGGGCGCCCCGAGACCGCCCCAAAACGGCCCGATAGGCCCCCAAGAGGCGCCCAAGTCGGCCCAAGAGGGCGCCAACCTTCTCGAACTGCAGCACCGCGAGGCCCAGCTGGCCCTCCGCACCCTTCTTGAAACCGTGAACCTTCTTGCGGTGGGCTGCTCGTGTCTCCAGCTTCGCCGTCGCTGACATCCGCGAGGTCACTGGCGTCACTGCTGCTGCTCGACGAAGATGAGGAAGAACTGTCGCTCGAACTTCGGGCCGTCGTCGACCCTGGCGTGCCACTGATGCAGCGAGGCTCCAAATACATGGCATGGGCCTCGCCGCCAGGAGCGGGATCGTCGACGAGGTAGTCGCCGAGCCCGCTGAGGCCAGCGGCCGCACTGTTGTCCCGCGCCCGCAGGACGACCTGGTCAACCTCGGACCGCAGGGCCTCGGCGGGGCCCCATTGCCGGTGGCGCGGAGAATAGTGAGCATGGCGTGGATCGCCTCGAGGGTCTCTGACTTGAGCCAGAGCGATACGATAGGGAGCGTTACCAGGCTGCCACTCCGACGGAATCCGTCGCCCAATGAAGGAGGACCCCGTAAAGATAGACAAGGCAGCAAGGTGTCGCAGCTGACGATCCCGATGAACCTCCGCGTGCCCGACCGTCACCACGCTGCTCAGGTTTTCCGACGCTGCCCCTACGGCCCGACTGAACGGGAGCTCGTAGTTAGAATGGGATCGCGGCATGCCGTCTCTATGCGTGGCCTCAGTCGGCGGGGGTCCAGGATGAAGGATGTCGTCGGGCAAGCCGGCGCCTGCGAGCTCCTCGAAAGTGTCGTCGCTCTCAACGACGCGGGGCAGCCGCGGGCCCTCCAAGCCCAAAGCGGCCGCGCGCGCCGCGATGGCGGAGCTCACGCTCTACCTCCATCGTTCTCCCTGGGAGATCGCGAGCTCGACGGCAGTCGGATTCCTCTCCAACTCAGCGACTCCAAAACCACCGTAATCCACGAGGCCGGCCCCGGAGGCGTCCGTGGCGATGACCACGGGGTCGTCGAACCTCCGGCAGCCGGCGAAAGCGAAAGGGAGCAAAGAGGCCGCCTGGCGCAGCTCGGTCTCGATCTCAGCCCACAAGCACCTCCTCGATGGGCCAGCCCTCTTCATGAAGACGTAGGTCTGGTGCAGGATGCTGAGCATGCAACGCCGAAGCAAAGCGCGCCAAGTATAGTGTCCCACCAGGCGCGACAGCTCGTCGCCGGTAGCCCAGCCTCGATCTGCAATCCAAAGTAAGGCCAGCCTAGTCTTCCAAATTCGAGATGCAGTCATACGTATCTGAGCAGTCCTTCTGCTAAAAAACATTCCTGTAAAAAAAAACCTGTTCGTCGGAGGGCTCACTCAGACCTCGCACCCTTGCAGAGAAGGCCAACATTACCCATCCGCTCAACAATATGTTCTCATGTCCGAACAGCAAGGGCGGGGTCCTGGCGGACCACAGCAACGTTATCCATGTAGACGCCGATGCTGAGCCACTGGGCGTCAAGTTTCGGCGCCTGGTGGCGGTCGCGGATCAGCAGGTCCTCGGGGCACCCGGCGTCAAGCACGCATTGCTCCAGGAGCCGTCCCACCCCATTGGGAGAACTGTCAGCAACGGAGATATTAGCGCCCCCTCGGGCACGACAACGTCCGGCCCCAAGGCGGCGACGAGCGCGTTCCTCTGGGCGGCAGGGAGGGCGACAGGGTCGCACATGCCGCCCGGCAAGCTGATCCGGTAGAAAGCGTTGTCCACGTCGGCCTGGGCCATGTTCAGCTCGGCGGTGGAGCCCACCTTCATAGAGCTCCAAGCTGAGGCCGTAGCAAATTGAGTGTACGCCGGACCCACAAACCTCAAGTTCAGCCGTCGGGTGTCTAGGATCATCCAGAGCCGCACCTTGTCGGACTTCCAGACAACAAATACTCCCACATTGTGTGCGGGCGTCTCTGGCCAAGGCAAACCAAACCACGAGAAATCAAGTCGGCAATGAAATTGGCGTAGCCGACGCGATCACGGATCCAGGTCTGGTCGCTGAAGGGCCTGATGTCTCCATCGGCGGGGTCTTGACGCAGGATGCGCTGCTGCCAATGTACCCATTGATCCAGCGCGTCGCCTCGAAGGACCTCATCTGGCTGGCAACGCGGCCCAGGTGACGGAAGAGAAACTCTATCTCGTTGATACGCAGCACGTTGCGCTGGCTCGGTAGCATAGCCAGGCACACTCCCGCAAAGCTCACGATAGGCTTCCGCGGCGCTGCATGGGGGAGACCCCGCGCTGCCGATGACTTCGCGTAGATGACGTAGCCCCTCTGACTGCGCCTTCGACACGCCGGACTCGGACTTTGGAGCCGGCGCACCTGCCAAAAGGTTGAGGCTCTCGGACGCCCCGTGCACCCACTTGTTGATGAAGCCTTGCCGGCGGACACGACACCGCGCGGCAGGGGGCCGGGCCCGAAGGCTCGGCCGGCGAGCCTCGGGAACCGCCCACTGGGAAAGGCAGGGGCATCTCGAAGCTAGCTGCCGCCCCCGGCCCCCTCTGAGCCGGAACCTCTGCCGCCGCCTCGGCCGCCCCCCTTGCCGCCAGCCGATGCCGCCAAGCGCTTCAGCTCCGCCGCCTGCTGCTGCGCCTTCTTCTGCAGCTCGGACAGGCTGGAACCGCCGCCCCCGCCGCCGCCCCCGCCGCCGCCGCCGCGGGCCAGGGCCCGCTCCTCTCGGACTGTCCTCTTCTCCTTGAGGATGGCCGCCTCGCGGTGGAGCTCACTGTTGACGTGCTCCTGCAGCTCGGGGGAGACCATCAGCAGTCCTCTGGTCTCCCCCGTGCCCATGCACCAAAACTGGTCGTCGAAGAGCTCGTCCTTCGAGCGGCCGATCACCCTGTCACGGTGACGCCACTCTGCCATGCGAGCCCGTCTGGCCAATAAATCGTATGCTGCGTGCCCCGAGATGTTGGCCTGCCCGAAAACCACACCAAGTTCGAACATACGCATCGCAAGATCGTGATCTTGCACTCCCTCGCCCCGAGGCTCAAGACCCGCCTCGCGCACGCACTCGGCGTGTCTCGCACGAGGGCGTTGGTCCTGATGCGCCAAGAACTCCGCGCACCACTTCACCGTCCTTGGCCCCAATGAGCCACCCTGCCCAGGCGGACTCCGTCAACTGGAGGGCGCCCCGCGAGAATCTGAGGCGCCGCGCGCCCTTGCTGTCGAGCATGAGCGGCAGCAGGCGGGCGTCGAGCTCGAAGTCCGAACCTGGGGCGGCCGGGTCGACGGCGACCGCGATGAGCAGCTCGCCGCCGCGCCGCGCCAGCACGCAGTCGCCCGCCCCCACGTGGGCGTCGACCTTGGCGGAGGTCAGCTGCCGCCCGTCTGTGCCCCCGTCCGCGGAGGCGAGGCCGAACCGCTCCAGGGGCGAAGACGCCCGGCAACTCCTGTCTCCCAGCGTCGAAGTCAGCCGCTGGAGCTGCTGTCGTCGGGGCGACGACTCCAGGAGTTGCCTGCTTGCCTTTCAGGCGTCGCTGGCCCCCCGTGTCGGTCGCGGCGTCCTCGGGCTGGACGAACTCCAGCGCCTCCATCACCTCGAGGGGAGTGGGCACCCAGTCGGCGCCGTATGCCGCACTCCGAGCTGACCACTTCTTCCCCTCGTTCGAGTCGGGGACGATGGAATCGTCGTTCTTGAACGCCACGAGGCCCGTGATCCCGCCATCCCTCACCTCCAGCACGTGCGGATAGATGTCGGGGTCCGGGGTGAGGGCGCACCGGAACCGCCCCGCTGCTTCCTGTGCTGGAGTCGCCACGACCCCGCCTTCGGACTCGGCCTCGGCGGCGGTGCACTTCATGATCAGGGCGCGGTGCTCCCACGAGCCCCGAATGCGCCACTGCGCCGCGATGCGACGCCCCGGACGAAACGCATCAGCCATAGCAACACACCGCCAGCCCGAGGCCTGCGAGGATGCCCAGCAGGATGCTCAGGAGGAGCCCCAGCCAAACGTATTCTACGATTTGGCAATGGAAGAAGCAGTTCTTGGCGGCGCCCAGCGCTGGCAGTATCTGAGCCCTCACGGAGCTGAATGCGAAGAGTGGTGACAAGTTGCTGATCACTGTCAGCGCTGATTGGGGAAACATACAAGTCTCTGGAGGTGGCCGACTTTGAAAGCTTGAGCAAGAGCGATGGCAACGGCGTCGCGTCGGCCAGACGAGCGAGCAGGAGCAATCACGTTTAGAAAACAAGGCAGGATTAAGAGCGCCCCGGATCGGCGGCACTGGCCGGAGGCCACTACAATATCGGCCAAATTGCCTCCAAGAGGCCTGAAGTCCACGATAATCTCCCAAAAGGGCTGCCTGGGAGGCAACTGCGACTGCGCGCCTTCGGCTTGTAGTGGGGTGCCCGAAGGCTCAGACTGATATGAAGATTACTGGGTATAGTGGGATTAAACCAATCTTAAATTTTCAGACTAACTTCCGGGGCCTGGAGCTGACGGCGCTTTCCTTATGGCCCTCCAGGGCGCCAAGCATGCCCATTTCGACTCCAACGCACTCACATCGTCTTCCAAGCAAAGCTCAAGAAGGCGCCTTCCTGGAAATGTTTTTTTGTGTGATTTTGATTTTTTGCTGGGGGGCTAACTAGAACGCGCACAGCTGAGGCTGCGCACTCACTTCCTGGCACAAGCGCAGGGCCTGTATCTTCAGATCTGCCAGGCGGCTGCTGCAAATGATGCGTTTCCCCGTCAAGTCTGAAATGTTGTCAATGCTTCTCTCGAACAGCGCCAACGCGTGGAGGAAAACGTGCACGTCCACCTGGATAAGCTTGGAGAGGCTCCGCAAATTCTCTGGGCTCAGGTCGCTGACATGATGCTCGGGCACCCCGTGCTTGATGTGCGAGACGCTGGTGCTGTTCGGAACTGCCTGCACACACTCGCAGTCTGGCGGTAGCGTGCCCGTGATGTAGAAGCGGAAGGCACGAACGGATTCTGGGCACAGGTCCGTGATGCCATTGAACGTCAGGCTCTGGAGGCCCAGCTTCGCACTCACTAGGTCGGGCTCCAGCTGGTCAGTGTCGACGTGGTGCCCTGCACGCGTGGCCACATATCTCGCCTGCATGTTCTAAGGGTTGTAGCAGTTATAATCAAAAAGCTGTTTGGGGGGTCCTGGGCCTGTGCGGCTCTTGCAAACACCCCGTTCATTGCAAGTTAAATTCGTTAGCGTGTGATTCGATGATGTGAAAACGCTGATCCACGCAGACAAGCCGTCCAACAGAATCGACGAATTACCTCGCGGGAATTTGGAACGCTTCGTTGCCACGTGCACCGCCCAAAAACTATACTTGCACATCAGAAACTGAGACACGATATGCTCCACTCGGTGTCTTAGAAACGACATGAAACATACCCTGGAGTGCCTTTTTGTTTTCAAGATGGGCTGCTCGTGATTCGTGTCGACTCGGATCCCTCGCGCCACAAGCTTCTTGGCGTCCTCGTAGAAAGATGTGCCCGAGCATTTGGGAATGTGCACGATCATGACTGACGAGTACCTTCTTACCAAGCTCCTCTTCCCATCAGGCACGCTGCCTTGTGGGCGCGGCGGCAGCGGAAAGGCCCAAGACTGGGCAACCGAAGTCGGCATCGCAGGCACTGGCTCATAGAGTCGGCGGCGGCGTCCACTTTCAAGCCTAAACGAAAAGGGCCACAGGACACACAAATAAATACACACAAATAAAAAGATTCCCCATAGTTTCCCATCTTTTCTGGGTTTTTTTGTCTTCCCCTGCGCTCCCCATAGTTTCCCATATTTTCTGGGGGATCGACGATTAATTGTGTCTGTGTGTTTCTTCCCCTCCTGATAAACTTGGGCGCCCGAGTTATCCGGGGTAACTCGGGTCCGGGGTAACTCGGGTTTGGATTCCCGAGAAAGGAACCCGAGTTAGCCCTGATCCGAGTTACCCCTGATGATTCTGGGGCTCTGGACGCCCGAGATATCCGGGGTAACTCGGGTCCGGGGTAACTCGGGTTCGGCTTCCCGGAAAACGAACCCGAGTTATCCCTGACCCGAGTTACCCCTGATGATTCGGGGCTCTGATAAACTGCGCCCCAGAATCGGCCGCCAGAGCCGCCGGCCTCGACGACCCGGCCCCCGCAGGCCGCGCCCCAGACTCTCTGGCGACGGCGGCGGCCGGGCGGCGCGCGGCGCCACTCCGCCCCCCCACGGGGCAGTCCAGCCACAGCCATGCCGCGCACGTGCAGAGCGCCGCCAATATCGGCGCGAGAGATCCCGCGGGCGATCTCGCTACGCCCATTTCCTGGACCATCGCTGGCGCAGAGGTCGACTGCTGAGGCTCAGTCGCTCAGGTTTCCAGCCTTCGGCGCCTGGGACAACAGACTTGAGCCACTGGCTTGAGCCAAAATGGCTTAAGCCAAAATGGCTTGAGCCAAAATGGTTACGGACGCCGTCCTGGAACTGTCTTGTGCGTCTCTCCTCTTTTATCCGCTCTCCGCGAGCAGCCAAGTCTTTTTCCCCACTGGAAGGAGGGGCGATTGGCGGCCGACATGGCACCACTCGCGAACAAGCTGGTTGTGGACAAAAAAGAAACAACAACAGTCCAAACGGAAACGCAGAATGGAAAAGGGAAACGTGCCGAGAGAGAAGAGAGAGAAAACAACGACAAATATTGCAGGCCAGGTGCAGGCGAGTCATCGGCCAGTGGCCAGCGAATACATTAAAATGGGCTGAGAAGAACGACGAGCATAACACGAACTGTTGTGCCACAGTGCCCGGTGGCAGCTCATGGGAGCCTCCCGTACCATCTTGTCGGCTCTTGCGAATCGACGCCGATCGACGCATGTAGGCGCTGATCGACGCCAAACTGGCGCCATCCCATCGATGACTCGCGACCCAAGCAAGGAGAGGCCATGAGATGCGGAAGTCCGTTGCACAGCTCGCATCCACAAGTGTGTTCAGATGAACCAAGTGTCAGGTCGGCCGTGTCCCCCAACAGGGGGTTTTTGGGTGGTTTGGACTTTTGGCCGACAAAAGAAAACATTAACAAACATTTTCAAACATAGCCAACAATGCACCTGACTTTATTTTACATGTTTTTGAGTAGTCCTCCTGTAGAGGGACAGGCCCGACTTAACACTGGCTTCTCTAAAATATTTTGGGATCGGATCTGCAGCTTTGAACACGTCCCTGAACCCAACTTGCAACGCGTCGGCACCCTTGCCACCACCCCATGGATTGTTCACAATAGCCGTGAACGTTGTGCAGCTGGGCCGCCACAGCTGTGGCGGCCTCTTCTTTGAAATCGGCGACCTTTGAGCGCAGTTCACGAAATAGCGTGTATATATACCATCATCATCAAACCCAGTTTAGGAAGGTGAGCTTGCGCTGTCCATGAAGATCGTTGTGTTCTGAAACTGCAGCTTGATAACCTGGACGGTTCAAACATGTGTTCCAATCCTTTCCATGCATCGCACTGGTGGCTCGTAGTAAGATCCATCCCTCCGATCATCAGCAAACTATGTGTCTGCACTGCAGAAAGATGGTCCCAGGCTGCTTGTTATCAAGGGAACTTTTGATGATAACGAGGATGCGCCCATGCCTTTTCGAAAGAACGTCCCGTGCCTGCTGAACCGGCTTTGTCAATATCATGTGGCCCCTGCATCCTTGATTCAAGCATATGCCTGGTGTTTGCTTGAGTCGACTCGTAGCGCCACCACAGCTACAAATATCGAAACTATGCGGATTCAGATGTTTCCCATCCGACGGTTCATCTGTTTGCCTAACCACTGTGAAAGCATCCAAGAATTCGGGCAAGCTTGGCTCATGATTGCTCACGGCTGTGTCCGAACCATGCAGCATTAAGAGGTCAGCATCGGGGTACTCATTACCACGGTGCTTTAACACGAGGAAGAGAGTCCAAGCAGCGTGACGAACACCATCAGTTTGATGGATACATCCGTAGGTAATCACACAGTGTCTAAACTCATAGCCGTGTTTCTGAGCGTAGGCATAAGGCATAATCAACCAGGGAAGCCATCTCGACAAAGCTCACGTCTTCAATCCTTACTGCGCCAGGGTCCTTGTCGCTGAGTGGGCGACTGCCACAGTGCGCCATGACAGCCTTGACTTTGACCGATGTACCTGTATGTTCGACACCTTCGGATGCCGTGCCGAGCCGCAGCGCCTGTCCGCACAGACGAGAAGCAGCGCCGTGACCACGACCCTCACCACCGCACGTCAAGGTTACGTGGATGCTGCTGGCATGTGATATCAAAGTGAGAGCGAGAATGTGAGCGTTTTCTCATTTGGCGGTTCGGCATTGAGCGGAAGGGGGGGAGGGGGGGGATCTGGCGCCGAACCTGTGCTCAGTGCGACTGTTTGCAACAGTGCGTCCTATGGGGGAGGCCCTACCTGCCTGCAACAGGCGCCACCAAAAGAAGCCACGATCCACTCCTTGGGGGGGGAGGGGGGGTGGGGTGCGAGTGCCCGCGCCGATCGGCAAAACGAAGAGGCTTCAAAGATTGCCCTATGAGGATGAACGCGCAGAGACTTTTCGGGCCCTCCACACATGACTTATCTCTGAGACTGGCTCCAGGTCGCAAATTCAAATCCAAGAGACACAAGAAGAATCCCAAAAGGCCCCGAGAGGTCCCCAAGAGGCCTCTGAAAGGCTTCCGGTGAACGATCCGGGCACGGTAACAGTATGGGTCGAAGGCCACTGGATATCGGTGAGACTCTTGTGACCTTTTTCTGCTTGGACTAATTAGCGTCTCGCCCATGTGGCGCATGGGACTCCAGACGGCCTCGAGATGCCACCCCCGCCCCCAGGAGGGCCCAGCATAACCAACGAAGCACTAGAAACTCCGAAAACTATGTTCAACATGTTGATTCCGCCCTACTCGCAGGCCGCGGCTCCGGGGAGCCAAACCCCCGGGATGGCTCAAGATCGCGCAAGGCCGGGGATGCCCGCAGCCCAAGGGCAGGGACCCCCAACCAAGATGCCCTCGGAAGACACGAGGAGGAGGAGGAGGAGGAGGAGGAGGAGGAAGAGGAGGAGGAGGAGGAGGAGGAGGAGGAGGAGAGGAGGAGGAGGAGGAGGAGGAGGAGGAGGAGGAGGAGGAGCCCCTGAAAGTCCATAAAGCTGGGTCGCCCAACGTGGCCGAAGATCAGAGGAGGCCATGGCACAACACTCCGCGTGTCCACGATCTCTTCGGGGGGCGCGGCCAACAAGAGCCGCAGGCGACGTACATGCTCAAAACCGCCCTTCGAATCCGCACTGGGTGATCCAACTTCCGCGCAGGCCCGTAGCTCCTGCAAACCAGTTCACCTGTCTGATGCGAAGCCATGTTTCCAACCTCGAAAAGTACGCGGCACTGCAAAATCTTGGTAACCTTCACAACCAGCAAGCGGCTTCAGACCAGAGTGGTAATCGCTCACCGCGTCCAGTTCCCATTACTTCTTTTGCGGCCCCCTGGGCTCGAACCATCGGGCGCGAGGAAAACAGAGCAAACGAGAGGAAAAACAAAACCACGAATGTTCAAAGACCGCCAGCGAGGAAACGGAAATCATGGTGCGGATGATTGCTGTCCTTCATGTCCTCCTGGCCGCGCTCCCTCCCACCTTCCTGAGGGGGCCCAGGGACACAAACAAATAGACAGAAATCCCAGAACCCCCAACCGTTTTCAAAATATTTAGAAATTTCGTCATCCTCCTGAATTCCCATATTTCCAAATATTTTCGGGGGAATCTACGATTAATGGTGCCTGTGTGTATTTGTTTCCCTGTCCGCCAATCGGGGCGTCGCGTGGTGTCCGTCATTGCGGCCCGCCACGGCAGCTGCTCGTGCCGACGCCTGGATCAACTCGGACCCGCCGTACGTCAACCTGCCGCCGGCTCCCGATATCCCCCCCTGCTGCCCCGCGACGACGGCCGTGGACGGTTCCGGCGCCGCGGGCAGGTTCAGCGCCAGCTCGCGGGGGCCAACACCTCGGCCTGCACGGCGCAACCTCCTGCTGCTCGTCAAGCACTCTTGTACCGCGGCGCCAAACGCTCGTGACCAATGGGACTCGTTCACTGCGGACTATAGGAAAATGGCAAGGGGCGGGTCGTCCCGAGGATGTCCCACCCCCGTCCTGCTCGACTTCCTCGGCTCGAACGGGACCCCCGTGGCCCAGATCAGGAGGACCCTGCAGGCTGGTGGTGGAGCTGGGGCGGCCTGACACAAGTTTTGTGTTCGGCGTATCGGTGGCACCAGCGACCCCAACCGGCACGATGCTACTTCCTCCGCCGCTTCCTTCACCAGCACGAACCAATGTAGGCCACCCACACGCCGCCGCCCCAGGGGGGCCCGTCCGCGCGGGCCAACGGACACCGCGGCCGCCCCACCGGCGGGTACCCGTCGACCCTCCCGCGCGCCCACACCCCGGCGTGGCTAGCCACCCGCGCGTGGCGTCCTGCCCTCCTGGTCCACCGCCCAAGTGCCTCATTGCCCCCGCGCTCGTTGCGACCGCAACCTCCCCCCCGCCCAGTTGGCGGTTCCTTGCCCGTCGCTGCCCGCCGTGCCGGCCGACGCGCCCGCCCGCCCAACACGCGGCCCCCTCGCATCCTTGTTCCTGGTCCTTCCTTCCTCCCCCTCTGTCCGCTCTCCATGAGGCGTGTGGCCGCCCCGTGTGGCCCTTTGGGCTGGGCGCCTTTTCTGCACCTGGCTCGGCACCTCCTCGGTGCCCCCCCTCACCTCTCCACCTTGCGACGCACCTCCTGTTTGGGACGCGCGTCGCTCACCCACTGTCCCCTGGACCACTTCGGCGCGTATCTGCTTACCCGGCTTCTGCACTTTTCGGTGCTCCCCGCCGCCGCCCCCTCGCGACGTACCTCCCGTGTGGGACGCGCGTCGCTCACTCACTGTCCCCTGCTCCATTTCGGAGCTTCTCTGCTGCACCACGCTGGACCGCCCACTGGGCCGCCCTGCGTTGTTACCTGGCTTCTGCACCTTCCGGTGCTCCCCTCCTTCCGCAACAGCCCCACGGTGCCTCCTCCCGTTGCGATGCTGTTCCGCCCCGCCCTGCGGGCGCCTGGGACGCTTCGCCCGCCGCCTCCTGCCCCACCCCTCCAGGACCCATGGCCACCTTGCGCGCCCTGGGCCGCCGCAATACTCATGTCACTGCCTCTGCCACCGTTCCAGCTTCCGCACGGCTCAGTGCTGTGCCTACTCTTCCGCGCGCCGCGGTACCTCTGCTGTTCATGTTGTCCCACTGCGCCCGCCCGCCAACTCCAGCTGCTGGCAGTCGCCCTCCCGCCACCTTTGCCACCGTGATTCGCCACGGCCGCCCACCACGCTCTGGCCCTGCGCGCCTGGCTGCTGCTTCCCCGCCCCCGGCTGTTCATCGCCGAACTCTTCGGCGTCTGAGCGTCCTTTCTTCCTCTCGGCCGTCCCCCCCCGCCAGCCAATTCGCCAGTTAGTGCCCCTTTTCTAGCTTCTCGCTGGAGCGGCGTTCGCTGCCTCGCCGCCGTCGAAATAAAGTTGTTGCTTCCCCTCCTGAATTCCTTCCCCCCCTTGTCTTCCTCCCGCCCACCCTCGACCTTCCTTGGACCCTCAGGTGGTGTCCTCATCTATCGGCCCCATGCTTGTCCACGCCCTTGTCGTCTGCATCACCCCTCTCTCCTCCGAGTTCCTCCAAGCGGAGACAGAGGGATGGGGCAATGCTCACGCAGATGGCATGTTGAGAAGGGACTGGCCGTCACGGCATTCCTATAGGCCTACCACGGCATGTTCTTAGAACCCAAACATGTTCTGATAACAAACACAGCGTTATCATAACATAAGCCCGATGCGTTAAAGCATGACAGTCTGGGCCAGCAATGTGCTAAGAACATGTCGTGCAGACCACAGAAGGTTCTTATAACATGCCTTGGCAGGCCTATAGTCGAGCTAGGACGCTTCGCCACTGCTAGAGCATGGCTTTCAAACCACGCGGGCCGTCGCCATTGAGGTCGTACTGCTTCAGCGACGCCGCCAGCTCCTCTGGCGAGAAGACCCGAGGCAGGACCTGCGGCGGGATGCGAGCTCGGGGCGCACACTGGGGAGACGAAGAAGCAGGGCACGACCACGCAAACCGTGTCATTGCACCAGCCTTGCACTTGCAGACGTGCTGCAGCGGGTTGTTGCGTGGATTTCTGCGCGTTTGTTTCCCGAAACGGCGAGCGAACATCGAAATGAAGTTCGCGTCGATGTGTTTTGATTGTTATGCCTGGCCAAACAATCGCACGGAACTTACTACGAAATCCATAATGAAATTCTCCAGGACACTCCAGGCTCATCCAATTGTTTTCCGAACGCACATCCGCTCTGCGATGTTGGCGGCATGAACAGCGGTGGGATGGCGGCGAGGGCAAACGTACAACATCATTTGCTATGTGTCTCCTCCGCGCATGTGATTGTGGTTCCGCAAGCCCTACACACCCACAGATGGTGTTGTCGTCTCGTGGGGACCATTCGCTGACGCCCGCTGGCCCTGAGCTGGCTTCCGCTGGCGGAAGCGCCCCCCCCGCTTTACATCCACCGTCCTTCCGCCGAATGATGCTAAGTTCTCGATCCCTCGATGCGTGGAAGGCCACTTGAAAAAACGGCGTCTCTCCCGACCGGCTCTCCCAGGGCTCCATCCTGACCCTCTTTTCAATGCGAATCCCGCCGCGGCAACGTTCAGCCTCCAGGAGAGCCAGAGAAGGATGAAGAGCACCATGGTGGGCCCTTTGCTTCGAGTAGCCCTCATGTTTGAAGGGGCCCTGGGACACACAATACACTTTCCCCCCTGAATTTTGCATGGGGGACACTCCTGAGGGAAGCGGATCCTGGACCCTGGAGCTTCCCTCAGGACGAGTTTGTCATCCCGAGTCGCACTTTGACAGTCCCGGGGCCCGTGGAGGGCCCTGGGAAGCAAACAACTGCGACGAACTCAGGACCCGTTTCCCTCAGGACCCGCTTCCCTCATGGTGACTCCTCCTCCTTCCCCTCCTCCTCCTCCTCCACCTCCTCCTCCTCTCCCTTCCCCGCCTCCTCCTCCTTCTCCTCCTCCTCCTCATTCTCCTCCTCTCATCCTCCCTTTCCTCCTCCTCCTCCTACTCCACCTCCTCCTTCTCCTCCTTCTCCTCCTCTCCTCCACCTCCTCCTCCTCCTCCTCCTCCTCCTCCTCCTTCGCCTGCCCCCAGCTATACGGCTATTCGCTCCATTTGGGAGGCCGTGGGGCCTTCTGGGCCTCGTGAGGGGCTCTCCGGAGACCCTAGAGGCCTCCCTGGAGATCAGCGGGGCACCTTGGGCAAGGGGCACTTCCAGCAGCACCCGCACGAAGGCAAAGGATGCCTGGGGCTGCCGGCCTCATCCATGGCTTCGAAGCGAGTTGCCCCAAAGTCGTCGGGGCCCCGTCAACGGGCGCCCCGAATCCACGTCGAGCACGCTGGTGATGCAATGCGTTGTGCTGCAAATTGCTGGCGAGGCAGATGCCCCCCGAAGGAGCAGTGTGAGGAGTGGGGGTGTGGGGGTGGGGGCAGAGCTCCGAGAAGGTCGGGGGCCTTCTGGGAGAGCCGGGGCTTTCCTAAAGAGGCCTGGGAACTCCAAATCAGAGCCCCCCGGACGTGACTACCTACCAGACCACCCCAACCCAACCCGAAGACCCGAATTTCGGGTTGGGGGGGGTAAGGGTTCCACGCGTGTTTTTTCGATGTTTCCCGAACCCCCCCCCACTGGAAATCGAGGGTAAATCTGAGCCTTCGGGTTGGGTTGGGGTGGTCTGGTGGGTGGTGAGGCACGCCCGAAAGCTGCAACCGTCGGCCGAAACACTCTCCGTCACTCGCTCTCTCTGGCCGGAGATGGCAAAGGCCTGGTTGCAGTGCCCTCCTGCAGTCGGATTTTGGGCGGGAAATGATACTAATGGTCAACAAATAGACCAAACTGTTCAAAAACAGTAGGAAAATCTTCCCCAGACTATCTGTTAACTATTTTTGAATATTCCACGTGCCCGACTCAAGGCAAAGGCCTGGCTGCAATGTCCTGGCTTCCTGGGCGTCCCCGCAGTGGCGCATCCCGGCTGGCATTCTCGCACAGCCGCACCCGGTCCGTGCCCGTCGGTCGGAAGAAGTGGGTAGGAACATGACGTGGGTTCCCACCCGCACCCTGAAGAGGAAGAAAGAGGGCATGCTGCATGCTGTTCGACTCTTGAATAGGACGGCGGCTACAGCAGATGGGCATCTCGGAATCCAACAGTACCCACTTTCAACGAGCGGCGTTTAGCGTTTGGCACGTCTTACCCCCCCTCCCAAACGTCATCCCTTCGATGCGCAAACTCTGAGGTGACAGATCGGACGTCTGACAGCTGCACTTTTCCTCAACATATGTTTCACCACCCGGTCAGCAGGGCTCGAGCGCACGTGCGTTGAACACCCCCTCCAGATCGAAAGGCTCGGCTCACACAGTGTTAGGTCCTGTGCATCGCGGCCGGCGATGCGGGGCCATCTTCGCGCCCTCGCGCCCTCGGGAAGCCCCCCTTCGAGAACGGCGGCCGCTCTGGCCCATGCCGCGACGCGCTAAACTTGAGCAGGAACCGACCGTCCCGGCATTCCTGTAGTACTACCACGAGGTGTCTTAGAGCCCAAAAATGTTCTAAGCGCGAAAACAATGTTCTTAGAACACTAACCCGATGTGTCAAAACCAGACCGTCTCAACCAGACATGTTCTGAGAACTTTTCGCGCAAACCAAGAGAGGTTCTTATAACACTCTTTGATCATAGGCGAGCCAAGACGCTTCGCCACAGCTTGATAAGCGCCGTCCTCTTCGCGCCCGGCCGCCAGGAAAACGAGGGGGGGGCGCCTCGAAAGCGGGGGGGCCTCCTCGGATGAAGGAGACCTGGGACACACAAACAAGTGGCACGCGTGCCCTGGCTCTTGCACAAAGGTGTCCGAGGCTCAGGGGGGGCTGCCCTGGGAAGCCTGGGCGGGGGGGGGCAGAGGGGGGGGGGCAGGGGGACGAACGACACGACGCGACGCGACACGGAAATAAAAGTGGCCCAGGGGGGCTACCCTGGGAAGCGTGGACAGGGGGGGTGGGGACGAACGACACGACGAACGACGAAAATAAAGGGTTCCGTGGCCCAGGGGGGCTACCCTGGGAAGCGTGGACAGGGAGGGGGGCGCGGTGCCGAAATAAAGTGGGCGGGGCGGAGGGGGCGCTGGGCGAGCGCTGGAGCCGTGGGGGGCGCTGAGACGTGTGGGGGAGGGAGCGGAGGATGGGGGGGGGCTGTCGGGGCGGAGGGGGCACTGGGCGGGCGCTCGAGCCGCGGGGGAGCGCTCAGACGGTGCGGGGG